CCTGAACACAGTTGGAAGAAGACAAAGCCTGGGCATCATGAGGTTGACAGTCCAGTGGGGAGGGGGGAATGATAAACCCAAACCAGAAACATTTAATATCAGGTCAGATAGTGGTACTTGCAATACAAATATAGTACAAAATAGTGATCCCAAGAAGTGTGTTACTCCACATATAATGGTGGAGATGGTGGTGGCAGGGGGTTCTCCAAAGAATAGAAAAGGACAGCAAGCTGCAGCATGGGCATTGGGGAAGCAGAGTACTCTCAGAGAACACAGCTGAGCAAAGGTCCAAAGTGGAACAAGCTTTCTTGATGCTTGAGCTGCTGACAAATAATAAAAATGCTGACCAGCTACAACTGCAGGCTCTCCAGACCGTATGCCCCTTTTATTATAGTTATAACTTTACACTATAAACATTAAATGTAAACATGTAAAAATATAAATAACTGAAGTGTGAAAGTCTGATATAAAAGTTACATAATTCAGTAATCATACATATTAGATATTATATAAATAAACATTTTAATATACAATAAATATAATGTGCTATATATTGTAAATATACATTACTAGAATAGTAATATGCACATATAAAATTATACAAACCTATATTTATAATCTAATATCTAATAATCTTTTATCAAATATAATTTAAATTATCACATGGTAAAACATACTTTTTTGAGATTCATCCATATTGTAACTTGTGTCAATAAATTATTCCTTCTTATGTGTAAGTAGTATCTCATTGTATGTCCTACAATGTATTGAATTATTCACCCACTACATTTGGGTTGTTTCCAATCTTTTGGCAAGTGAATATAGTTTCTGTCAACATTTGAGTCCATATATAATTATTCATTTCTCTAGGTTAAATACTGAGGAGAACTGCTAGTTCATAGTATATGGTATATGGTTAATTTTATAAAAACCTGCCAAATTTTTGTCCAGAGTGGATATATCATTTTACCTTCCCAACAGTAACGCATTAAAGTGTCCATTGCTCTGCATCCATGACAACTTTTGGTACTATTTAAAAAAAAATTATTTTAAGCCATTCTAAGCGTGTAGTAGTATCTCATCACGGTCTTAATTTGCATTTTCCTGACTAATGATGTTGAGCATCTTATCATCAGCTTATTTTCCACCTGTATCTCATACAACCATGTGGATGAATCTCAAATACATCACAAAATGAAAGATGTCAGACTCAAAAGGATACATACATATGTACATACAGATACCCATATATTTCTGTAACACCGTGGAAAAGGCAAAACTATAGAAACCAGAAACAGATCAAATTAGTGACTGCAAGAGGCTGGAAGTAGGGAGACTGCCTAAAAAGGGATAGGAAGGAATGCTGGGGAGTGAAGGAAATGTTCTCTGTCTTGACTGTGGTGTTAATTACATAATTGTCATTTGTCAAAACTCTCAGAATTCTACACTAAAAAGGGTGATTATCCACACCTCAATAAATCTGACTTTAAAAATATCTCAGTACTATAATATCATAATACATATAAAAGAGAAATAATTTGAATTAATTGACAAAAAAAATAACGTTTCCCTCTGTGAGGTTTGGGCACCGTTATGCAGATGTTGGTCAGATGCTGTGTCCATTTATAAATAGTAATGATATTAACAACAACAGGATACCCTAATTGGTAACCACTAGCCCTGCTCCCTTATTCAGCCCTGATTAAGTCACTTCATTCTCAATAATTCCATTTTACAGGTGAGGCAATTGAGGCTCAGGGGGAAGGTTTGCTGGACTGGCCCAGAATCCTCAGCAGATCAGTGTTGGCACCAGGATTTGAATCCACATCCACAGCTTTCTCTATTCTGGTTGCATCATGGGAATCCCAGCTGGTGGTCTCCTGGGCCCCTCAGATCCTCCCCAGCCCACTCTGGGTCACTAATTCCCCAGAGGGGCCTATGAGGCGAGGACCTCATCCTCATCCCTTCTCTCTCTTCCAGGTTTCTCGTCCATGTAAACAGTGGGGATGTGGAGAAGCAATGCTGGAGAACTTGGCAGTAGCCACACAGGGGCCTCATGAAGCAATATGGGCAATGGGGAACCAGCATTATGTTAGTGGAGACCAATGGGGAAAAGCAAACTACCAGGATTTAATGGAAGGTTTAATGGAAGGTTCACAGACACTCTTAATAGGTAATGGACATCAGCAGACTTTTTGCTGGTTATTAATGTAGGTACTATAGAGGGGGATAGTGGAGGCTCCAAAATGCAGATGGATAATGTGGAGTTTATGGTGCATTATCAGTCATTGCCCTTACTTGTGTGGAGGGAAGCTGGTTAATGACACCAGTGTTCAGAGAAGGTATTGAGGGCATCACCACATGCTGGGTTGGGGACAGTTACAAACACTGCTAGATGGGGAAATGGGAGATCATTAGTCACCATTGTTGCAATGGACAAGTAATGAAGGGGGATCACAAAGCATCCTACTAGAAGTGTAGTAAAAGTATCAGAAGGTATTATTAATAGTTGGACTAGGTGGGGTATATCACAGTTTCCTATTCTGAAGATTGTAGGAAGTGGTCATCAGTTACTACTTACGTGAAAAGTGGGAATAAATGGGGACTATGGAGATTACTAGGCTTTGTCACAAGTGAAGTGACAGACATCATGCTGGAGGTTAGTTGTGGAGGAGATAATGACATCTCCAGGACACTATTTCCTGGAATTGAGGGGTGATAAACGTAGTACTGAGTGAAAGAGGGATAATGGGTGTACAAATACTATGCTGCAGTGGGGTAAGAAGTGTGGGGGGGGTGTCCTTCAGACACTCTCTTGAGGGGGTCAGCAAACACTGTCATAAATTGAGGCATAATGGTGGGTTGCAAGACATTTAGTGAAGCCCCAGATACAGTACTGAATGAGATAAAGGGGGTTAACAGTGGATCACCTACCATACATTGTTCTAAGATAGGAATAAGAGTATGGTGGATCATCAGATACTGTCAAAGGGTGAGATGAAGGGAGTTAGTGATGGATCAGACATCGATCCAAGGTGGAGTAATGGCACTACCAAATTTGGGTAAGAGGGTTCAGGAGTATTCCCAGCCTTGCCCCCTGACAAGGTTCTGTCCCCATCCTCAACCACAATGCTGTTGTTCACAAAGGCAACAGCACCTTGCACAACCCCATTACTTGCCACTCCCAGTTGTTACCAGTGGACTGACCTGGAGGAACCATTCTGCTCTTTCCAGTTTGGCTGCCCAACAGCTGAGTGTTCAGTCAGACCCTCTGCCTGCATTTGAGAGACCACTGCTGCCAGTCTTGGGTCAGACACCTAACTTCCCAGGAAGGTCTGCCCTGTTTGCTCTCAGCCTCTTCACTATTAGAGCTGTGGTCCTGTCGGGACATGAGGAGTGGGTCTGTAGGTGAGGGTCTGGGGTGGGGTATTTGGAGCTGCGAATTTCACAATCATGGTAGGAAATCCTGAACACCAAGCATCTATGTGGGATTTCCTGTCTCAGTTTTCCCTTCTTTAAATTGGCTGGCATCAGGCAAAAGGTTTATAATAATGTTTCAGCTTTGGGGAAAGGAGGCAGAGGCCAGGTAAAAACAAGCTGAAAAAGCCTGGTGTTTTAGGCAAGTTGGTTCTCCCCATTGCAGCATCGTATGCTGCAATACAGAAAAGATTAAAGGAAAGTTGTGATGAGCAGGGTCAACACTTCACAGTGTGCATTCATGGAATGTCTGTTGTTGTCAGGCACGGGTCAAGGTTCACAGTGGTGAACAAAACAGAAAAACATTCTAACGTAGGAGCCACAGACAAGTAAAATATACAGGGCATCATGGCAACAAATGCTATGGAGAAGGATAAAGGATAGAGGGGAGAGGGTCAAAATTTTAAACCAGGCAGGAAAGCACAGGGAAAGCCTCTGTGAAGAGGTGCCATTGGAAGACATGAAGGAGCTAACCACACAGATATGAGTGCTGTAGATGCAAAGGCTCTGAGGCAGGACCTGAACTGATGTGTTTGAGGCATATGGGGAGAAGGTGCTTGTGGAGTCCATGGCATAAAGATGGGGCACAGAGAAGACTTGAACAAATGTTGAGGTGTGTTTTAATATGAGTTTCTAATTTGTTATTATTATAAATGTCAGGGCATTAAGGCAGACAAATAAGCTGGAAGAACTATGACAGCAAAAGGGAGATGGAGATGAAAAGTTGACCAAAATGACCTGAAAATTCTTTTCAGAAGCTTTCCTGAGGGTAGTGGAGGTTCACAAAACACTATGTTGGGAGCTAAATGAGATAATGGTAGTCAGCAGACATTAGTATTTAGCACTAATGCAATTATGTGGTGTCAGAAGACAATATTCTAGGAACTAATGAGGGTCAAATACACTTTAGTGGTAGAGATGATAAGGGGTGGGGTTACAAGTCATGATGCTAGAGGATAATGGGTCAACATACACTCGGAGGTTTGTGTCTGCATACATAAAGAACTTTTTTACTGAGTTATCTCTTTCTTGATGGAAATACTCAATGGGGGACCGGACACACACAACCATGTTAGATTCAGCAGAAGAATGAGAAAACACCCCAAACGGTGTTAGATAATGTGTTCTGCAGCAAACATCTCACAGAACTTAGGATCTGTCACTATCATATACATTATGTTGTTGTACCATTCAACCTGTTGGTAATCTGCCTATTCCACAGTAAACAGGATTATCATTAACATGACTTAATATAACCTCTCCTATGCAGAATCTGGTAACAATGTCCCATCATATTTTTATGAGAAGCCTTCTATCAATTTTCCTAGTATGAACACTTCAAGGTTTAATGAAGGTGGTGTTAATGTGGGAAGGGCCCCCTTCATTCAGGGCCCTATTCTTTACAATAATGTGAGACACTTTGATGGGGTATTTCTACTTATAATATGCATATTTTTCTGCTAACAAATTTAATGATATACAATCAGACCTGATCTCACTGAGGTTTTCTCACACTGTTTTTCTCAAGTGTGAATACTCTGATGGACATTGAGCACAGATTTCTGGACGAAGCCTTTCCCACAGACTACACACTTATAGGGTTTGTCTCCAGTGTGTGTTGTCTGATGTTTATTCAAATTTGACCTGTCTGTGAAAGCCTTCCCACACTCAGCACATACATAAGGCTTTTCTCCTGTGTGAATTCGCTGATGCACTTGGAGTTGTGATTTCTTAGTGAAAGATTTGCCACAGTCACTGCATTCATAAGGCTTCTCTCCAGTGTGGATTCTATGATGTATAATCAACTCTGACTTCTGTCTGAAGGTCTTCCCACATTCAGAACAGATGTAGGGCTTTTCTCCTGTATGGGTTTTTTGGTGTTTACTGAGATTTGATCTGCCACTAAAGGCTTTCCCACACACAGCACACACATACGGTTTTTCTCCCGTGTGAATTGGTTGATGCACCAGGAGCTGAGATTTGGACGTGAAGGATTTCCCACAATCACTGCATTCATAAGGTTTCTCTCCAGTATGAATCCTCTGATGAGTAATGAAGTTTGACTTCCGGATGAAAGCTCTACCACACTCACCACATACATAAGGTTTCTCTCCTGTATGAATTTTCTGATGCACAATAAGTATTGATTTCTGGTTGAAGGCTTTCCCACATTCATGGCATTCATACTGTCTTTCTCCGGTATGAATTTTCTGGTGTATATTGAGGTGTGACTTTTGGGTAAAGGCTTTTCCACAGGTACCACATTCATAAGGTTTTTCTCCAGTATGAATTCTCTGGTGTGTAATCAAATCTGACCTTTGTGTGAAGGCCTTTCCACATTTAGGACATATATAGGATTTCTCTCCTGTATGAGTTTTCTGATGCGTAATGAGATTTGACCTGTTGGTGAATGCCTTCCCACATTTAGCGCACATATAAGGCTTCTCTCCTGTGTGAATTCGTTTATGTACATGGAGTTGTGACTTGGAAGTAAAGGATTTCCCACAGTGGCCACATTTATAAGGTTTCTCTCCAGTATGAATTATTTGATGTGCAATCAAGTGAGCCTTCTGGATAAAGGCTAGTCCACATTTCATGCATACGTAAGATTTTTCTCCTGTATGAATTCTCTGATGCACTGTGAGTGCTGACTTCTGAGTAAAGGCTTTTCCACAATCACTGCATTCATAAGGTTTTTCCCCAGTGTGAATTCTCTGATGTATAATCAGTTCTGACCTGTACGTAAAGGCCTTACCACATTCAGTACATATGGACGATTTCTCTCTAATTTGAACTTTCTTATGTGTAATGAGATTGGAACTATTGTTGAAGATCTTCCCATATTCAGTATATATAAAGGGTTTCATTCTTGTGTGAATTCGTTGATGTACCTGGAGTTGTGACTTAGAAATGAAGGACTTCCCACAGTTATTGCATTCATATGGTTTTTCTCCAGTATGGATTCTTCGGTGTGCAATCAAGTGTGTCTTCTGTATGAAGGCCTGTCCACATTCAATACATATATAAGATCTCTCACCTGTGTGAATCTTCTGATGCATCTTGAGCGTGGACTTTTGTGTAAATGCTTTGCCACAATCACTGCATTCATGGTGTCTCTCTCCAGTATGAATTTTCTGGTGTATACTGAGATCAGAGTTGTAAGAGAAGCCTTTTCCACATTCACTGCATTCATAAAGTTTTTCTCCAGTATGAATTCTTTGATGCCTTAAGAGAGAAGATACTTGGAAAAAAGCTTTTCCACATTCACTGCACTTATAGGGCTTCTCTCTAGTATGGGTTCTCTGATGTGTAATGAATTCTGGCTTCTTTACAAAAGCTTTCCCACAGTCAATGCACACATAGAGTTTTTCTCCTGTATGAACTTTCATATGTACCCTCAGCTGTGACTTCTGGGTGAAGATCTTTCCAAATTCAGCACATTCATAAGATTTCTCCCCAGTATGAATTTTTTGATGTTGAGAGGGTGCTTGTTTATAGCTGAGGATATTTCCACATTGATTATGGTCCCATAACTTCTCTCCTGTTGGAGAACACTCAGGGTCAGTAGAGGAAGAAATTTTACCATATTCAGTAATCTTATTCATGTTCTTTGATGCACTGTTTCTATAATGACTGTGTAAATCTAAATTATGCTTCAAAGCGTTTCCAAATGAATCACACTGAGGGGCTCTTTTGGGGGAGAGAATGTTTTGGCTCACATGGATTATTTTTCTAATGTCCTTATATTCATAATCCTTCTTTGCAGTCAGTATTTTCTTGATGAAAACAACATCGCTTAAAGATTTGTTTTCTCTTTGCTGATAGCTTTCTGTCTGGTCATCAATCTGCCACAATTCTTCTAGAATGAAATACAACAAAATATCACTTGTAGCATCGCCTTCCTTCTCAATGTAGAAAAGAAGCTTTTTCATGGATTCTCTGCTGTGAAGTCTGCAATCTAAACTCTCCTTCACAGAGGAGAATGATGGTTTAGCTGAAAGAGCAGCTAGCAGAGGCTAGAGGGGAGGGTCATATGGATCATCCAAGTTGAACACAGAGAAAAGGGTGAGGGTGACTCATCTGAGGAGGAGGCGGGTAACAGTGGTGATAGGAACATTCTGGGATACAATCAAATGATTAGAGGAAATAAACTTTATGAACATAATCCACCATGGACAGAAGTAGAAAAAGGCAAAACCCAAGCTATATAGCACAGTAACATTTATATAATAATACATACCCCAAGTCACTTTAAATTTTAAAAGAATATGCACGAATTAAAAAATATGTTTCCATCACATAAAACAGTTGCCTACAGTGAGAAGTGAGATGGGTGTGGGGAAAAGAAAGAAATGGGAATAAATCAAAAAACAAAATACAGGAGTCCCTTCCCTTATCGGAAGGGGACATGTTCCAAGACACTCAGTGGATGTCTGTCTGAATCCTCAGAGGTACCAAACCTGAATTTTTTTCTTATTCAGTGAAGAACGTTTTAGCTTTTCACTTAAAGGAAGCACTTTATGGCTTCTCTTTGGCATACCACAACTGCCACCATTACTACTCTTTTGCTCTGGGGCCACTGTTAAGTAAAATAAGGGTTACTTGAACAGAAGCACTGCAATATCATGACAGTCAATCTGACAAACGAGAAGGCTACTAAGTGACTAGTGGTCAGGTGGTATATACAGCGTGGATATGCCGGACAAAGGGATGATTCAACTCGTGGGCAGGATGGAGTGGGATGGCATAAGATTTCACAAAGCTACTCAGAAAGGCACACAATTTAAAGCTTATAAATTGTTTATTTCTGGAATTTCCCATTTAATATTTTCAGACCATGGCTGACTGTGGGTAATCAAAACCATAAAAAGTGAAACTGCAGTCATAGAGAATCTTTACCCAGACTGATAATGACAGTGTGTCCTGAATGAGGACCACAATTAAACTCAAATTTCATCACGTGAAGTATAGAAATAAAGCAATTACAAAAATCAGGCAATGAGGCAGAGAGACCCTAGTTAGTGTAACGTCAACCAATATTGGAAGGAAATAGCAGAAAAGTACTTCTAAAGGTTAAGTGACAATTACCCCCAAGTCATCAGTTAGGTGAAAGACATGGGGAACAAGGAAATAAGAAATCTTATGTCAGTGCCTATGGAGAAAATAGGAAGAGAGCCTGGATGGACATAATATTCTGAAGCATCCCATAGTAGAAAAAAAGAAATGATAGAGGACTATGGGAATGGGAGTGTGACATATAGTAAGTTTGAAAGAAAGCAGATCCATGAATGCCTGAATGCATAAAGAATCATAGACAATGGGGAAGACAGAAAGAAAGAAAAAAATCCTTAATGAGGCAGATTAGCATGTGATCCAGACTCCAAAAAGCCAAAGAAGATGGTTAGAAATGATGAAAGCATTTAGTTATTTGAGAGGCCAATGTCAAGGGTCCTCAAGCAGTAAATTAGAACAAAAAAATTAGAACCTTCCAAAACAGTCATCTTAATAGCATTTTAAAGATGCCAGTCTTTTTCAAGACAGCTGAGAGCTCCCCTTTCTCCCACCTGTCTGGTCATGCACACTCACCTGAACAGCTCTGATGTGGGCTCTCACCCTGCAATGCCCAGGGCTCCTTTCCTTGCTCCAACATGAAAACTTCTGGTTGGGGAACTTCATACCCTGTTTATGAGAAATGATAAAAGACTGGATCCAGCTAATTGTGTTTCAAAATGTAATCAATAGTCTTGTTCAATGAAGTTTTGTTCTTCTGGAATGTAACCATTTATTTCTTGGAACAGAGTAATGTTCAGAATGCCCAAGGGGATAAAGAACCCTAGACAAATCAAAGTCAAAAACATTACATACTTCAGGTATCTCACAGCATTCAGCAACTGAGAACAGAAATACTCTCACTGTGGATCTGAGTAACTGTGCTTACCTACTGAAAGCAGGTGACTGTAGGTCTCCAACATCACATCCCGGTACAAGTTTCTCTGAGCAAGGTCTAGATGCTGCCACTCCTCTCTGCTGAAATCTACAGCCACATCCCTGAAGGACACCGATCCCTGTAAGGGCACATTTCCAGTTCAATATGAATAGTTAGCTTTGGAGGATGGAGACTAGGAATATGGAATGTGGGTTTTGTTGTTATTAATTTATTTCCTCTTTTTAAAAACTCACCTCCCATTTCCCTAACATTTTATTATGGAAAATTTTGAACATACAGAAAATTTAAAAGAATTTGTAGAGTGAAAACCTGTTTCCCAACCACTTAGAATCTATCATTAACATTTTGCTCTATTTGTTTTATCATACATTTATCCATCCTTTTATCATCAATCCATCTCATTTTTATTCAGTTCAGAGTAAAGTGTAGATGCCAGTACACTTCATCCTAAATACATCAGAATGCAAATCATTTAACTAGAGTATAATGTTTGTTTACCTTTTTTAAGGTAAAATTTTCACACAATGAAATGTACAAATCCACAATGTACCATCTGAAGTTCTGATAAATGCCTACACCTGTGTAGTACAGAAACTTTTAAAAAATGGTATTTCATTCAGGGTGCATATTAAAATATCTAGTTTTACACAATCATTTTGTGGGAGAAAGAAATCTAAGAAGGAATTTCTGCTATTTATTCTATACTACAGTCAGTCAATTACTTATTTTTCAAAACTGAAGAATAGGCTCTCTCTTAGTCTTCTAGCAAGTGGATGAATGACCTATGATACAGTTTCTGAGCAATTTAGGACCAGCCATTATGCTAGTCCTAAGAACAAAGAAATGGATTATTTATGTTTCTAATCTTCCAGCAACTTAAAAGACCTAAGATTTAAAAGAAGGGAAAAAATAGACACAAGTTCACTTAAGTGTCAAAAAGTAAATCTCTCAAATGGAACAACACACTGAGGACCCAAAAAAGGAAAAAGTGTATTCGACATGGGGCAGTGAGTTTGTATTAGTTGAATTTAAGTTGAAATATGATAAGTGTAATAAAGAATGGGGGGTAAAGGAGGTCACTTCCCAGAGAAGACAGAAGCAAAGGTGAGGAGACAGGAAAATACATGATGAGTTTGGGGAACACCAATAATATATATATAATGGAGAGAAGTCTGCATGACATGTCAGGAAGGTGGTTATGGAAAAAACAGTTTGATCATAAAACAGGGATTTTTTTTACTTTTAGTAAAGGTGATTAAGGTAATCAGATTTATGTGAACTTTTTTCCATAGAAGATCCCTATTGCAGGATAACCAAATAAATGATGAAGGAAGTTTCTTACATAACAATTCTAGCAAATAAATGAAGTTGTTAGGGTAGAATTAGAATATCATAATTTTGTAATTCCTAATGAAATAATGAATTTATTCAGTAATCATTAATTTATTCAGTATTCACTAATTCAGTAAACAATTGCTTAACTGTTTCAGGTGAAAGACTGAAGAGAAGTTTACAATGATAGACCAGCTAATAACATCTACATTCAACAATCAATTTTAACATCACAAAAAGAGAGACAACCAAATATGTGCTTCCTGACATTATATAGTAATTGATTTCATTATACCATCTGTTAAGTATTCTTAACAAAGAAAAAGAAAAATCCAAGCTGAATCTCATTCAGCCTCTAAATCTAACAAATCATTCACAGGTAAAGTGGAAGTGAGAGAAACATATTGAACAATATTAAGACTGAAACGTAAGCGGGGCGCCTGGGTGGCGCAGTCGGTTAAGCGTCCGACTTCAGCCAGGTCACGATCTCGCGGTCCGTGAGTTCGAGCCCCGCGTCGGGCTCTGGGCTGATGGCTCGGAGCCTGGAGCCTGTTTCCGATTCTGTGTCTCCCTCTCTCTCTGCCCCTCCCCCGTTCATGCTCTGTCTCTCTCTGTCCCAAAAATAAATAAACATTGAAAAAAAAAAAAAATTTTTAAAAAAATAAAAAAAAAATAAAAAAAAAAAGACTGAAACGTAAGCTAAATCCAGAAGGCAGCAAATGACCCCTTTCTTCAAAAAATAAATTATAAGGGCGACTGGGTGGCTCAGTCAGTTAAGTGCCCAACTCTTGATTTTGGCTCAGGTCATGATCTTGCAGTTTGTGGGCTTGAACCCTGCATCAGGCTGTGCACTGACAGTACAAAGCCTGCTTGGGATTCTCTATCTCTCTCTCTCTGCCTCTCTCTCTCAAAATACATAAACTTTAATAAATAAATAAATTACAATAGAAAAAATAATAGGAGAGAAGCTTTTCTTTATTAAAAGAAACTTCAGAATCATACTAACCAAATGCAACTTGAGGACCTTGTTTGGCCCTTCATTAAAACAAACCAATACTAAAAAGATATTTATGATGGGTTTTAAAAACCTCAAATGATAACCAGGTATTAGATGATATCTAGGAATTACTGTTGTTTTAGATGTGATAAAGGCTTAGTGGTTATGTTAAACAAAAAGAAAGAAAAAAAGAATTCTCATCTCTTAAAGATGCATGTCAAATTATTTACAGATAAGATATGGTGTTTGGGATTTGCTTTAAAATAATCTAGCAGCTGAGGGAGTGGGGGGGGGTGGTTTTAGATGGAATTTAAATGGCAGAATATTGATGACTAATAAAGCTAGGTGGTAGGCACGAGAAATACAAGGGCTCCTGATACTACTCTCTTGACTTTTGTATATGTTTACTTTTTTCATAATAAAATGTTTTTTAAAAACATGATCCTCCATATTTAAAAAATTTCATCTGTAAATGCATAATTGAAGGAATGGCTATTTCTATCTAAAGTCATGAACATTTTAAAAAAGAATTATATAGACCTGAATACCCACACTTAGCAATTTATAGAAACAGTAGACAGGAAAAAATCAATGATATAGAAGAAACAAACAATAGGATCTAACTGAAATTTACAGAATATTCCAACTAACAACAGTGGAGTACACATTCTTTTCAAACACCTACAGAAGAGTGACCAAGACAGACCATAACCTAGACTGTGAAACAAACTTTAACAAATATAAAAGAATTAAAATAACACATAGCATCTCTGATCATAATGGAATGAAACCAAAAATCGGTAACAAAGACAACAGAAAAATCTGCAAAGGAATTATATTACAAAATAGTAACAAAAGCTATCCAGAAAGCCACAAAATATTTGGAAATGAAGTAACACATTTCTAAATAACTTCTAAATCACAGAGGAATTCTCAAAAGAAATTTAGAAAATACATAGAACTGAAAGTGAAAATATATCAAAATCTGTGGGATGCAGATAGAGCAATGCTGAAAGGGAAATTCATAGCACTAAATGTTTACATTAGAAAAGGGGAAACAATTTAAAAAATGGGCAGAGGATCTGAATAGATATTTTTCCAAAGACGTATAGAAGGCCAAAAGGTGATCAACATCACTAATCATCAGGGAAATGTATATTAAAACCATAATGAGATACCTTACACCTGTTAGAATGACTATTATCAAAAAACAAAACAAAACAAAAAATAAGAATTAACAAGTACAGATGAAGATGTGGAGAAAAGGGAACCCTTGTGCACTATAGGTAAAAATGCAAATTGGTGCAGGGGCGCCTGGGTGGCTCAGTCGGTTGGGCATCCGACTTCAGCTCAGGTCACGATCTCACGTTCCATGAGTTTGAGCCCCATGTCGGGCTCTGGGCTGATGGCTCAGAGCCTGGAGCCTGCTTCCGGTTCTGTGTCTCCCTCTCTCTCTGCCCCTCCCCCATTCATGCTCTGTTTCTCTCTGTCTCAAATATAAATAAACGTTAAAAAAAAAAATTTAAAAAAAATGCAAATTGGTGCAACCACTACAGAAAATAGTATGGAGGTTCCTCAAAAAATTAAAACTAGAACTACCATATGATCCAGCAATTCCATGTCTGGATATTCATCCAAAGGAAATGAAAACAAACTCAAAAAGATATATGCATCCCTCCATGTTTACTATAGTGTTATTTACAACAGCCAAGACATGGAAGCAACCTAAGTGTCCACCAGTGGATGAATGGATAAAGAAAATGTGGTATATATGTACAATGGAATACCATTTGGCCGTAAAAAAGGAGTCTTGCCATTTGCAACAGCATGGATGGACCTTGAGGATATTATGCTAAGAGAAATAAGTCAGAAAGAAGAACAATTACCATATGATCTCATTTATATGTGAAACTCAAAATAAAAAAAACCTAAAGTCACATATACACAGAACAGACTGGTAGTTACCAGAGGTGGGGAATGGTAGTGGGCAAAATGGGTGAAGGCAGTCAAAAGGTAAACTTTCAGTTATAAGATAAATATATCATGGGGCTATAATGTTACAGCATGGTGACTACAGTTAGTAATACTGTAATGTATACTGAATGTTGCTAAGAGTAAATCTTAAAAAATTTTCATCACACAAAAAATTGTAACTATGTACAGTAATGAATATTAACTAGACTTATTGTGGTGATGATTTCACAACATACAGAAACATTGTATTATGTTATATACCTGAAACTAATATAATATTTTATGTCAAGTATGTATCAGTTAAGAAAAAAGGAAAGGGGAAAATTGTTAAATCAAGAAACTAGAAAAAGAAGAGCAAAATAGACTCAAAGCAAGGAGAAGAAAGAAAAATAAAGAGCAGGTATCAATGAAATTAAAAACAAAAATTAAAAAAAACACAAGAAAAATCAATAAAATACAATGCAGTTATTTGAAAAAAATCAATAAAATTGATAAGCTCTGTTGACTGAGCTATTAGACTGGCAAAGATAAAAACAAGATACAAATCACCAATGTCAGTAGCAAAATAAGAAATACTGGGGCACCTGGGTGGCTCAGTCGGTTAAAGATCTGACTCTTGATTTTGGCTGAGGTCATGATCTCATGGTTTGTGACATCAAGCCCCAAGTGGGGCTCCATGCTGTCAGCTAGGAGTCTGGTTGGGATTCTCTCTTCCTCTCTCTCTACCCCTCCCCCACTTGTGCACATGCGCATGCTCTGTCTCAAAATAAATAAATAAATACTTTAAAAAAAAAGGAAAAGAAATATTATAGATGCAGCTGCCATTTAAAAGGAAATACAGAGAATATAAAAATTCTATGCTAATAGATCCAAAAACTTAGAAGAAATATATTACTTCTTCAAAAACCACAAACCAACAAAACACAACTATTAGGGAACAGAAAAGATGATCCTATAATCATGAAATTAAAGTCTTAATTTAAAAGCTCCTGAAAAAATAGGGGCGCCTTGGTGGCGCAGTTGGTTGAGCGTCCGACTTCAGCCAGGTCACGATCTCGCGGTCTGGGAGTTCGAGCCCCGCCTCAGGCTCTGGGCTGATGGCTGATGGCTCAGAGCCTGGAGCCTGTTTCTGATTCTGTGTCTCCCTCTCTCTCTCTGCCCCTCCCCCGTTCATGCTCTGTCTCTGTCCCAAAAATAAATAAACGTTGAAAAAAAAATTTTTTTTTAAATAAAAAAAAAAAAATAAAAAAATAAAAAATAAAAGCTCCTGAAAAAAAGAAATCTCCAGGCCCAGAATGCTTTATTAGAGAATTCAACTAAATATTTAAAGAAGAGTTAGCCTTATTTTTACAGTCTTATCCAGAAAACAAAAGAGAACACTTCCCAAATAATTTTGTGGGGCCAGCATTACCTTGATATCAAAATTAGACAAAGATAGTACAAAAAAGAAAACTACAGATCACTATCTCTCATGACCTTAGATGCAAACATCCTCAAAAAATATTACCAAATTACAACCAGTAATGAAAAAAAAAGAATTGTGCACCACCACTGTAGTATGTTTCGCAATGCCCTTTTAGGATCTATAATTGTTTCAAAATAAATAAAAAGTTTAAAAAAATATATTGAAGAAAGCGTATTCTTAAAACAGAACATTTGGAATAGACAAAAGTGGAAAATCAGTCATGAGACCCACTGCACAATTCATGTGAGAGAATATGAATTTCTTACTTAACTAAACTTAAGACTGGAGTAGTAAGGCTATAGAAGGAATTGATATTAAGAAGATAAAATTGACACCAGCTGTGAAGGTGAGAAAAAGGGACTCAAATAAATATTAGTTATTAGTTCAGTCCAATATCAGTTATTAGTTCAGTCCAACTGTAGATTTTGGTGTCACCGACGGATTTAAGGATTAGAGGAGGAGGCTGGGGGAACAAGACAAGAAATAATGATTTAAATTTTGTACATGTTGAAATTTAGGTGATAAGACATATATAAGGGTATATACTAAGTAGTTGAATAGAGAGATAGTATGGAGATAAAGATTCGGGAGTTGTATGTACAGAACAGGCCACTGAATTCAGGGGAGGGAATGAGCATAGAGGAAGGACAAGGGAATACAGAAGTATATCTCTCTCTTTGGGAAGTATATCTTAGATACCTGTGGCTTTAAAATTATGTTATTTGAAAGCTATCTTTTTTACTTCTTCATTTAATTGTGTTCAGAGATTATAGTCTGCTTCTTTATGATGTGTTGATTATGGGGCTTAAAACACTGTCGTTTCTTTGAAAATGTTCCCTATATACTTGCAAAAATACATGTGCTCCGATTTTTCTCTTTCACACACTGGCATAGTCATACCCTACATACACCAAAACCCCAGCCCCCAAACCCAACATCATCAGAATTAATGGCGAATAAAGAAGATGTTATATTAGTAGCTTTGACTCCTTACCAAAATGAGCTTCTTATAAACAGTTTGTCCAGGAAAAAATCTCCTCATTCAAAGATAATAATAAACATCTCCTGATGTACAAAGATACTATAAGTAAAAAGAATGAGAGAAAAAAAGAAGAAATTAAAAGGAACATGCTAGAAATAAATTGTCACATGACAGAAGAAAACACATTCACCATGATTTCAAGGAATTCACTAAAACAAACAAAAAACTACCTAAAATAAATAGGAATCTCAGAGTCCAAGGAAGAAATAATGGAAAAACAGGCTAAAGCAAATGGTTATTCAAGTTTTTGAAAAATAAACTGGCAGCACTCTGTAAAGAGGTGAAAAAGAAAAGCAACACAAAAATGGAGGTCTCTCTGAAAGCAGTAAAACACCACGTGAAAACACAAAAAGCGACAAGGAGAAGATTAAGACAACTGAGCAACGTGAAACTTTTAGAGGAAGATAGAAAAAAAATAGAATTTAATAAAAACATCTAATAAACAGAAGAATCCTTGAAGTGGAAACACAGAACTTTTATCATTTTTCACAGTATAAATTTAATAGATATTGTCTAAAACAAGAGAAAAGATTTAGTTCAAGACGTTAATGTGAAAGATCACACTAAAAGGGCCAACCATACAAAAAAGAAACCAAACCTTCCAAATTACTGAAAGGGACAAAGAAACAAAAGCAAGAATACAAGGTCTAAGGTGAAAGAGAACTATCTTTATCAAAAGTGTACATAAAATATATCTTTTCTAAATGCTATACAAAAAAAGTTCACAAGGACTCCGAGGACAGAAAAAGGATGAGCAAAAGTTGTATCTCAAAATGCCAACAGGAAGGAAACGAGCCTCCAATGAGATAGGGCTGAATTCTAGGGAAAAAATATTAAACATAACAAGAACATAATCCAAAATTAATTTCAGATGTCATTACTATCACTGCACAAATTTCATAGCATCCAAATTCATTCACAGAAACTACAGACAAATATAGACAAATATATTCATGGTGGGAAACTTAGTATCTCTCAGTTCCAACAGATAAAGTAAAAAATAAATAAACCACATTTGTAAAACTTCATAACTACATAAGATAGCTTATTGATAAGACAGCAAATTCTGTATCCTAAGACAGTCTTTTCAGGTGCCTATGTAACATTCAGAAATATTGAACATAAAATCTGACCACACACACGTACGCACTTTACACAAAACTTAACATTCCAAGAAGCAGAATAAAATCAGTGCAAATAAATCTCTCCAAAGCTGCAATCCTAATTTTATTAAAAATAGAATTACGTAGGGAAACAAAAATAATATAAAAACAGGGAGGGGGACAAAACAGAAGAGACTCATAAATATGGAGAACTGAGGGTTGCTGGAGAGGTTGTGGGAGGGGGGATGGGCTAAATGGGTAAGGGGCATTAAGGAATCTACTAATGAAATCATTGTTTCACTATATGCTAACTAATTTGGATATAAATTTTAAAAAATAAAAAATAAAATTAAAAAAAATAAAAAATAAAAAAACAGAATTACTTAACTAAAAATCTTAATATCTAAAAGTGAAAATGTGGAAAACAGTAATTAAAGATTTGGTGAGAAATTTACTATGCTTCTAGAAAGCCATCCATTTCATCTAGATTTTTACATTTATTTGCGTGACACAAATTATTTTTCTAAATTATCTCTCAATGCTGTTTTGCTATATATTTTGATATACAGTATTGTTATTATTGTTGTTTTAGATATTTTACTATCTTAACTTCTTTGATTTGGAGTTGACTACTAAATGAGAAAGTAGTGTCTGCTTCACATGTGTCCCTATGATAAGCCCTATTTGGCTACTGTTTTCATGTATTCTTGAATTCAGTTAATTAATACATCTGACTTCTGAATCTATGTTCATAATTTCCAGTTGTTTCTTTTTTTACTGTCCTTGATTAGTTTGGGCATCAAGTTTAAGGTAGTAAACAAAATAAAACAAATACCACAAACAAGGCTGGAAATATTTTTAGATACCATCTTTACCCAAACTTTGGCACACGGGTCAAATGTAAATCCCCATGAAGTTTACCACCACTTTTAACTGTGTGTTCAATAAACATTTTAATTTCTTGAAAGGCTTCTGAACCATTTGTATCCACCAATTTTGACATTTATTTTTTGTAAAGCTATATTCCTGTTGTTTATATGATTTTATATAATATTCATTCACAATTGTTTTAATCTTTTTTTTTTACAATGGTTTTAATCTTTGATGAAACAGTAACTGTCTCCCATGTTTTGTTACACTCTTTAAGTGTATCTTTACTCTGTTCTTGATTATCAGCGTGTAGAAGCCACTTATGCTTCTATCAGACATCTTCATCAATTAGTTTTGTTCTCCATGTGACTAATTTCTTCCCTTAACTGTTTTTTACTCCTTATTGTTACTTTATATTTATTGAGTTCTTTTTTTAAACTTCTTCAGTTTTAAGCGTTACTTATATCTTACGTCTTTTTCCCCCTAAACTTCAAGGATTCCTTAAAAAGGCATTTAAATCTATGATTTGCTCCTCTGTAGTTTAGCTTCACCACCAACTTTAAAATGTAGTTCTTTATTTAACTGAAATTCAACTCAAAGAATTTTCTAAGACACTTTATGGTTTTCCCTTTAAAGAATATTTATGTAGAAAAAAATGTTCAAAGTTTTCACATATAGGGGTTTCTTTTGCTAGCCTTTTACTTTTTTTTAAATTGTGGTAAAATGTACATAACAAAATTTACCATTTTAAAATGTATAGTTCAGTGATATTAAGTCTATTCCCAATTCCGTGCAAAAGTCTTTTACTTATTTCTAATTTAATGCTCTTGGTTAGAGAATAAAATCAATATTATAGAAAAGTTTCATATTTTTTATCTGCCAGGATTAATAAGTTTTTGGAAGTAGCTCATAAAAATGATCAACAGAGAACCAACATCTAAATTTCAGAAAGAGAATAGAGAAATATTTATGTGGGGAGAAGCAGTTTAAGAAGAAATAGAGAAATAGTTTCAACATCGTGCACAAAAATTATTTCTAATCAGGAAGTTTATCCTCAGCCAAAAGATCAATATAGCATGAGGACAGAATAAAAGACAGTTTTTGACATTTCACCTCTCCACTATCATACACTTGGTCTCTAGATGTGGAGACAATACCCATGTGTTTCTTATTCTTGGCAGAAAGATCAAGATTTGCTTCAGGGTAGTAGGAGAGTGTGGCTGCTTCCTGTGGCCCATCTGCCACTGCCCAGAGGCTCTGGTGACATATCAGAGGTATCTACTCCCAGGATGAATTCTTACCCCCGACATTCTTCCTTCTCACCTCATATGAACTGTCATATTCCTCTGGAACCAGGATCAGGGATTTTTGGGGAGAGGTCTGATTAGCTGACATCGTCCTGGTAGGTCTCAAACTTTATTCTCTCAGGAGCCTAAAGCCTGGTAGGCATCTGTAAATCCAAGCAGAGCTGCTGGGGGGAGGCAGGCTGGAGTCTGGAGAAAGATCTAACCCAGGGGCTCCCCAGAGACAACAAGAAACCTAGAAGACAATGTCCACATGGTCACATCCTCAATATTCATCACATAAACATTTCCTGCCAACACCACGGCACCAAGGTGAAGTTCCCTGAACTAGACACAGAGAGCAGAGGCTCTCAAACTTTAATGTGGATTCAAAACACTTCGAGGGCTTGTTAAGATACAGTAAAAACCCTCCACCTCACTCCCAGTTTCTGATTCAATAGGCCTAGGGTAGCAACTTTCTTAGTCCAGTCAGGCTGCTATAATGAAACACCACAGACTGGGCAGCCTATAGACACCTGAGATTTATTGATCACCGTTCTGGAGGCTGGAAAGTCCAAGATCAGGGCATCAGTGTGGTCACATTTTAGTGAGAGACCTCACTAAAGGTTCACAGCCAGCACCTTCTGTGTGGGATCTATTTTACAAGAGCACTAATCCCATTTGTGAGTAGTCCACCTTCGTGACCTAATCAGTTCCCAAAGATCTCACCTCCTTTTACGGTATTTCTGGATTTCAACATACAAATTTTGGGGGGACATAAACATTCAGACCATAGCAGGGCCCAAGAATTAGCATTTTGAAGTAGTCCCCAGGTCATGTTGATGTTGCTGGTCCAGGGACCACACTTTTGAGACCCACTGCTGGAGAATGTAAAGTTTAACAAAACCCGTGATGAGTACTGGTCAATGAGATACGGAGTAATATTCCTTAAGATTTGAACTGCAGCTCTGCTAACTTTCAGCTATGAGAATACGAACAAGTTACTTCCATTTTAGTTTCAAAAAAAAAATAGTTTCAAGTACCTATTTCAAGAGTTATAAAATTAAGGGCACCTGGGTGGCTCAGTCAGTTAAGCGTCCGACTCTTGATTTCGGCTCAGGTTATGATCTCATGGTTCATGAGATCAGCTCCGTGTCTGGCTCTGCACTGACAGCATGGAGCCTGCTTGGGATTCTCTCTCTCTCTCCCTCCCTCTCTCTGCCCCTCCTCTGCTCACTTTCTTTCTCTCTCAAAATAAATAAATAAACATTAAAAAAAAAAGGTTATAAAAATTAAATGAGATGATGCTTGTAAAGTATTCAACATCTCCCTGGCACGCAAGAGGCATACAATAAATATTGGCAATTACCATTCTCTATTAGATATTAAAACTTAAATATAAAAACAATGTAATCAAAACAGAGAAAACAATAGCTCAGACAGTACTGACTTATGTATGTAATAAAAATGGCATTCAACTGAGTGCGCACAGAACATTTATTGTATAAGTGGCACTGATATAATTGACCATCCACCTAGAAAAAAACAAACCAGATTGCCATCACACACTATATATTAGACTGAATTCCAGCAGAACTAAACATTTTAAGTATTTGTATTTAAAAAAATGAAATAAATTTTAGTAGTATATGTTTGTATCAACATTGTGGTGGGGTGGGAGGAATTTTTAGTACACATGTGAGAAAACCCAGATGCTGTAAAAGAAAAAAACCAGATGTTTCTGGTTAGATGGTATTTCCTAATTACATGTTAAAACATACTTTAAAAATAAAAATGAAGGGGCACCTGGGTAGCTCAGTCGGTTGAGCATCTGACTTTGGCTCGGGTCATGATCTCAGGATTGGTGAGTTTGAGCCCTGCATGACTCTCTGCTGTCAGCATGAAGTCTGCTTTGGATCCTCTGTCCCTGTTCTCTCTGCCCCTCCACTGCTCATGCTCTCTCTCTCTCTTTTCTCAAAAATAAATAAAAATTTTAAAGATATATAAATAAATAAAAATAAAAATGAAGAAATATGTATATTTTTTTCAAAATGTGAAAATAGATTATCTCTGAATTAAAAAAAAATCTAGCAATCAATATGGAAAAAAAAAAAGCCCTGGAAAAATAAAAACTGAACAGATATGAAAATTCACAGAAAAGGAAATTTAAATGGTAAGTAACCAAAAAGATACCATTTTACTAATAGGAAAATGCATTAGAGCAATTAGGTATAATTTCACTTCAGAATAGTAAAAACTTATTTTAAAAAAATCCAGTGCTGGAAATTGGGAAAATGACCCCTTTTATAAATTATTGGTGACAGCTTGAATTGTTACTGTATCTTTTTAGTTATTAGTCATATTTATTATTAAAAATAAACAACCGATCTTAATAGTTTCAAATATACAAAGCAGAAACTGACAGCAGAAAGGACAAGTGAACATATCACCTCCACGAGTTCACCTTTCTCTGTAATTAGTTAAGCAAACAAGATAAACTGTGAGACTATATATGAAACACAATAGAGGACACACATTGCTTTGATGTAATAGAAATGACATTTATGAAAACTGACCATGAACCAGACCGTAAAGCAACTTTTAAATTCGAGCATTACCCAGAGACATTATTTGAGATAGAGAATGCACTTCTAAATAACTCATGACTGAAAGAAAAAAATTACTAAAACTGAAGAAAAAAACAGTACTTAGATTTGAACAATAAAATGCTACACACCACAGCTTACTAATGCTTAGAAAGCGAGCTCATCATAGCCCTCACAGAGCCCCATAGCTGACGCCACAGATCAGTCACTGACCACAGACTCCCATCACTGAGCCGACAAATCCCACACTCATCTCAAGATCCCCATCATTGAACCAAGACACTCCTATCATTGCCCTCACCGCAACGGATGCCACAGACCCAGAAACCACCATCATTCACTCCACGGACAACACACCCGTCACGGACCCCCAGAATCCCTAAATCACGACCAACCAAATCACCTCAGAGACCTCTCGGAATTAAACTGCGGAGAAGCTCCAGACATCATCGGCGAAAAAGCATTCGAGGACCGCTTCCGCTTCCGGTTTGACCTTCGGCACCTCCTCTCACGGACAGTCGCTATCGCGCATGCTCTGAGTTACCTTGGAAGCCGCATATGCCAATAGCCAACATGGCGTAGTTTCCGTAAGAGACGCTGTCGGGCCGAGAACATGGCCTCGCCTAATGGTGCCTCTGAGCGCGAGCCGCCATCTTTGAGGCGTGTCCATTCCGTACGGCGGAGAAATAGGCCTCCCGCGCGTTTTCTCAGCGCGAGGCGGGGATTGCAACGTAGAATACAGGGGTGGGGCTCTGGTCGAGGTAGGCTACTGGGAGGAGAGAGGTGTTGGCTATGGTGTATGGTGCTCTGTGTCATATTTAGAAAAGCTAATTTGCCTTCCGGGATAAACCGCTCGGCTGAGAGTTAATTTTCTGCTGGAAGAAACCACGGGGGATGAGGGGAGCAAGGGAGGAAAAATCACCAAGTTATGAGGACAAACGTCTTATGTGCTACGGCTGAATCCTGGGAGAAATCGGCGGATGAGGGGAGAAGTCACGACAGTACAATCTGATTTTTGGAGACACCCTCGGGGAGAACGTGGAGAGGTCAGAGTGGGAGCCCCGTTTCTGGGCGAAACCACCGGCAACATAGATGTCAGAATGGGCAGTCAGCTGCAGGCGGGGTAGTTTAGCCTTTTGTGGGAGAAACCCCCCCGGGGATATAAGGTGCTAGTCGGTGTCTTCGAGTTCTCTCCTGAGGGATGCCGCCAGGGCAAGACGGCACTTTCCAAAGGGCTGGTGGAGGGAAATGGAGCCTCGAATCCTCATTCATTTCCATTAGTAGCGACAATTACAAAAGTAATAATAGTTTTTAATATCGTCAACGTGTGACGAAAAGCACGTAAGGGAAACTGCTATTTTTGTTTATCTGTAAATTAAAATCTAAGAACAACGTCATTATTATGTGCATGAAGCCTAAAGTCCACGGGGGGTGCTTATGACTGGGAGGTTGTAGAGACACAATTCCTTTCATCTGGCGAATTCCTAAACATTCTTTAAAACCCAGCTAAATACTGGCTTCTGCCAGGACGTTCTGTCTGACAGTGGTAGGAGGTGCTACTGAAAGTCTTTTAGCAGTCGCAGCGGTGGGAAGTGTTTTGAGGGAACCAGACCTAAGCGCTGATGTGGGCGTGCTGGGTGTCTTCAGGCTATTTATGCCCCTCTCTGGGCTTTAGCTTCAAAACTGGGCCAGTTACAGGGTTGGACTGTGCTTTCACCAGCTTGTCTTTCTTCTCCCAAAACTGGTTTAAGGAAAAATCTGTGGAAGTCTATTAGTGAACGCACTTTTTTACCAGAGGCCCAAGAATTACGGTTAATTTTGTTGGTAATATGATTATGTTTACCAGAAGACTTAATCTTTTAGTGATTTATGTGGGAATACTAGCAAAATGTCAGCTTAAAAAACTTCATGGAGGAGGGTAAAAGGATAAAACAAAAATAACAGAATGTTGGTAAATGATGAAAGCAGCTGATAGGTACATGAAGCTCATTATAATGTTCTCATTTCTTTAGTATTTGTGTGAAAATTTCACAGTAAAAATTTAAAAAGGAAATGAATTTAAGAATCATTTACAAGGGCATATTATCAAGAAGAAAGCAGGTGTGTTGATAGTATTAGATTATACAAATTTCAAAGCAAACACTATTAACAGAGATGTTCCATGTTTTAATAAGATGCAGCTACCAAGAGCATACAACACTAATAAAGTTTATCTAACCATATAGCTCTGAAATATATACAGCAAAAGCTGGTAAAACGGAAATTTTGAGGAACTCACAATCACAGTAACTAACATATCTTTCAGAAACAGATCAAATAGAAGAAAAGTAGGTATAAGACTATATTGGGATAACATAGCTAATTTGTTTGATATATATCTACATTTTATTTTTAACCAGAAAATTACATTTTTTCAAACATACATGGAACAATCATAAAAATTCTCCAAAAAGTAGGCCATAAAAGACATCATAAAGCCCCCAAACTGATATCACATATGCCG